TATGTATTCGTATTCGTTACTGATTTTTTTAAATAAAAATTTTACCAAGTTTTATAACTATTTGACTAGCATTAAAAAAAATCTTTATACATGTATTATCGGTTAACATTTAATTGTAATTTCTAGAAAATAAATGTATTGTTTATGACTTCTCACTATTCAAGAAAAAAATAAATAAATCCTTTGTACCACGATTTTCTCATTATTTAAGAACCGCTCACTAAAGTGGGGTGACAGGATGGCGGAGAAAAGGTTAATGAAGAAGGTGTATTACACTCCGTCACATCCAGGGAGTTTAGGAGGAATCGAAAGATTGAAAAGAGCTTTGGAGGATGAAACGGGGAAGAAGGTTAAGACGGAAAAAGTCCAAGATTTTTTATCTGAAGAAGACGCGTACACTCTCCACAAACCTGCACGCATTAATTTTCCGAGAAACAGAGTTTTTGTCACGAGGCCTTTGAAACAGTTTCAAGCAGACCTTTGTGACATGCAAGCCTTGGCTGAGGAGAATGACGGTTAGTTACTTATTAACGGTCATTGACATATTTTCTAAAAGAGAGTACGTACAAGTTTTAAAGAGAAAGACCGCTGACGAAGTGTTAAAAGCCTTTGAATCAATTTTCAAAGACAGTATGACCCCTAAAAAACTGCAGACATATGCGGATAAAGAATTGTTTAACAAAAAATTTAAAGCTTTAATGAAAAAGCATAGTATTGAGCATTTTGCCACAGCGAGTGACCCAAAAGCCTCGGTGATTGAGAGGTTTAACCGTACATTAAAAACCAGAATGTGGAGATATTTCACCGCTAATAACACCCGACGTTACATCGATGTTCTGCCAGACTTAGTGAAAGGTTATAATTTGACTTTTCATTCGAATATTAAGGCGACCCCTATGGAAGTGAATTCAGAAAATGCCTTTCAAATCTTTCAGAACCTGTACGGTACATCCTCGGGCAAAAGCCGCAAGAATTCCAAACCTAAGCTTAAAGCCGGGGATCTCGTTCGATTATCTAAATTACGGGGGGATTTTTGATAAAAAATATGAACAGAGTGTTACGGATGAAGTGTTTACAGTCGTTAGTGTCATACTTCGATCTCCTCCAGTATATAAAATTAAAGACTTAGATAACGAGGTTCTTTTTATGAGGAGGAGCTTCAGAAAGTGAAACTGTGTAAAGACAAGATATATCACGTGCAAAAGATATTACGCAGACTAAGAGGCGTTAAACAAGTTTTTGTGCAGTGGAAAAATTGGCCTCAGAAGTTTAACAGCTGGATTAATCCGGTTGACCTTCAAGACATATAAAAGACACCTGTGGAAAAACACTTGTCTGACACGACATCATACAGCGTGGGATGGAGGAGGAAGGATTTTACGTCACTCTACCCTCGAACGCGAGTGTAGATGTTTTTAAGGATAATATCATTTCGAGTTTTCGTGTAAATTTAGTGCAGCATATTAATTTAGAAGGTTCCTGGTAAGTTGTCTTGACAGAGATTTCTTATCCTCACACTTGGCAAAATGTCCCGGAAGAATCGGCTTACTTTGAGTGGAGGACCGTGGATCAGAAAAGCCTGTTTGACAAAATATTTTGCCCGGATATTACAGAAACATAAAGCAACTGGTTGGAGAAATCGAACCTATCCTCAGAGAAATAAAAGCTGACATCTACTTTCGCCTTTACACGTTTGTAAATAAATTATTCTTTGAAGCAGGAGGACGATATCAATTACCTTTTCAAGCTCCTATTGCTTACATGCTGGGGGTGGAAGCGAACAAATGGTTCGGTTTTGATCAAATCAGATTGACTCATCCTGTAGATATGAAAGCAGGATTTTACATGATTTATTGTTACAGCGACATGGTCGAACAGCAAATAGTGGGAGATAGTTATTCTCCTTTGCTGCATACGATTAAAGTAGAGGGTGAATTTGGGGATATAATCACTAAACTTTTAATCCTGTCGACTATCTTCCTGTGGCAAGGAGACATATTGAAACGATTCAGATTGAACTGAAAACAGACCAGGACGTGCCGGTAAATTTTACCTACGGAAAATCAATTGTGAAACTGCATTTTCGACCTGTGAGGCCGCGTGGAGGCTTGAGATACTAAACTGAGATACTAACTGATTAATCTCTGACCAGAAACAAATGTATAAAAATCGGATGATTACACGATCATCATTCATACCGGCTCACCGCTGCTCAGCACGGCTCTCTGATGCTGTCAAAATTGACTCTCTCACTGCATTCATTCGTCTGAGTGATCCCTTTAACACGGATCACTACTTTCTTTTGTTGTTTTGTCTGGTAAGCGTAGCTTTTGGGTCCCATTGAAGCAAATTCCTGAATAGTGTCACCCGATAATTCATCCGTTAAGTCCCCGAGATAATTCCCTAGTTCTAAAGGACTCTCACCATCTTTGACCCTGTAAATCAGACTATCGGTATCGATATAATATTGTACGCCCCGCGCCACATACATCCTGTCTAAGGTTAATTGGAAATTTCAAAATAAACATATTTTCTAATTTCACCTCGTGAATGGACTAAAGCTGCTTTGCTTTTATTTTGAAGTTTTTATTTACGTACATAATGACGCATCAGGACGCACGCATGATTGGATCGTTGTCACAAGCAGGTCACCGCACTCCTTTAGCCCTGAGAAATGTCTGCTCCTGCTAAAAACAGAAGGCTAGAGGCCGAACGCAGAGTTTCCAACAGAAATTGGACAGCTAAGTATTTATTTACGGAAGTCGGAGGTAAAGCTGTGTGTTTAGTTTGCGGGGAGCAGGTCGCCGTGTTTAAGGACTACAATTTGAATCGGCATTACGAGACGAAACACGCGGAGAACTACAGAAACTTGAACGATGCTGAAAGGGCGCGGGCATCGGAAGCTTTGCTAGCTAAGCTACAAAAGCAGCAAGGCGTTTTTACCGAGCTTCACACATCCAGGGATGCAGCAACCAAGACCAGCTTTGGTCCCACAAAATCACTAAAAACAGTAAGCCGTTCTCGAGGGGGAGCTTGGTGGACTCTGCAGCACTAATATGCCCTCAACAAAAGAAGCATTTGAGCAAATCCCGCTGTCCAGGCGAACCGTGACAGGAAGGATCGAGGACATTGCGGGGAATCTGGAGCTCCAGCTGCAACGCGAAGTGGCAAGTTTGGACTTTTTCTCCTTGGCTTTGGACAAGAGCTGTGATGTCCGCGACACAGCACAGTCACTCATATTTGTCCGTGGGATAACGTCGGATTTCAAGATTACGGAGGAGCTGGCAGCAATGCGGTCGATGAGAGGAGCGACAACCGGGAGCAATCTGTTGGCGGAGGTCCATGCGTGCATGGACACACTGGGACTGAAATGGGACAGACTGGCAGGTGTCACAACGGACGGTTGTCCAAATCTTACGGGCAAAAATGTCGGACTTTTGAAACGTATTCAAGATAAAGTGACGGAAATCGATGCAGATCAAAAATTGGTATTTTTGCATTGTATTATACACCAACATGTGTTGTGCAAACCAGTGCTGAAAATTAACCATGTTATTGATGTTGTTACTAAAATTGTAAACTTCATCAGGGCACGGCATTGAGTCACAGACAGTTTGTCACTTTGGAGGAGCATGAGGCTACCAGCCTGGGCAAAGTGCTAAAAACAGTGTGGGATCTGAAAGCAGAGATTGGAGAGTTTTGTGAGAAGAAAGGTAAAGACATCCCAGAGCTCTCAGACGAGGACTGGGTGTCAGATTTTGCATTTGCTGTTGATGTGACTGCACTGATGAATGAACTGAACACAAAACTGCAAGGCAAGGCCCTTTTTGTTGATGAAATGCACAGCCTGGTGAAGGCTTTTATGAGAAAGATGCAGTTTCTTTCAAGCCAACTGGAGAGCAACACTCTCACTCACATGCAAACCCTGAAAGAAGTCACACCATCAGCTGATTGCCTTCGCAGGTACTCATCTATGTTGGGAGCGTTGCACAGTGAGTTTTCAAGGCGATTTGAGGATCTCAGAAAAATTGAGGATGAAATGCACATGGTTTCTTCTCCATTTACCTGCAGTGTGGATAATGTACCCAGTGATGTTCAGCTGGAACTCATTGACCTGCAGTCTGATGCAATACTGGCAGAGCACTTTAAGTCAGGATCTCTGCTTGATTTCTACTCTTCTCTTAAGGAGGGGAACTTTCCAAACATTAGGAGACATGCTCAGAAGATGTTGGTTCTCTTTGGCTCTACCTACATATGTGAACAAACATTTTCAAGGATGAACTTTACAAAATCCAGGTACAGATCCTCTCTCACTGATGACCATCTGTCAGCCGTGCTTCGCATCGCCACCTCAGACATTCAAGCTGACTTTGATGCACTCACTAAAGCCCAGCAGAGACTAGATTTCTCTCACTGAACAAAAAAAAAAGAACTTAGGAAATACCAAATAGAGTGGTTAGACTACAAAGACATGTCAGCATGTAGGCATGTAAAGGCACCAACTAGCAGTGAACTGGAACACTTTCTTTGGAAGCCCTTTTCTCAATCAGTTCAATGTGATGTATCTTGTTTGGTGGTGTCTTTAGTCTGTTAAGAACCTCTTTCCAACAGTATATAAAACTCAAATGTGTTTTGGAGTGAATGTGACTCAAAATGTTCACTAATATGAGTCACAAATTGTATAAAATGTTCACATTTTGTTTACCATTGATTTGGTTAATTTGACTGAATAAATTACTTTTTTTGTAAGGCAACCTCAGTTTTTCATTGCTTAACTATAACATCTACTCTTACTAGCTTGTCAAAACAATGCTATTTACTGCTTTTTATAAAGAAATACAATTAATATTATGCAGGATTGAGTTCAGCCTTTTGGTCTGGCCCTCCACAACATTTTCTGTCTCTCATGTGGCCCCATGGAAAAAATAATTGCCCACCCCTGGTCTAGATTCCTCAGAGGTGATTAAATGAGAGCAAAGAACTCTGGGAAAAACCATTACCTCTGCTGGATCCTGAGCCTTCATCATCATTTTCTTCCTGCTTAATGCAAAGTTCCTCCTCTTCCTCCTTTATCTCCAGTTCCTCCTCTTCCTCCTTTATCTCCAGTTCCTCCTCTTCCTCCTTTATCTCCAGTTTCTCCTCTTCCTCCTTGACCCACAGCAGAGTTGGTTCCACCAGACCTTCCATCTTGGATCCAAACTGGACTTCCGCTTGCTGCTGCAGACAAACCGTCGATAATAACTATCTGAATACTTAATCACTCATTTTAAACTGTTTAAAAATATAAAGACTAGCTACTAACTCACAGTTTGAATCATTTTTAATTTTGTAGCAGGGGAGCTAAATTATTTCATCATATTTTGAAGCCAACTGTCCAGCCATTCAGCTGAGCATCAAACAAAGGGCCCCGCATCGTGGCCCTTGAAAAACCCTAGGAACGGCTCTGACTTTCTATTTAAGATAAAAACACATCAGATTCATACTTTTGGTTTCCATGCAAACCCACTTTACGGATCGAGATCAGCTTAAAATAACTTCAATATTCAGATTATGTTGACAGAAAATCAGTTTCATCCGGTTGAAATAAATCTGCAGATCAGAGACTTTTGCTCCACCATGTTGATTAAAGATTCATATTTACTGTTTTATCACATAAATCATGTCAGACAAACGGAGCCTCAGCTTACCGCCAAAACTCAGCCGAACAAACTTTGTCCGGTCGCTGGTTCGGTTCGGTTCGTCCTCGGTGCTCAGCACTGCTCGGTTCTGGAAGGGAGACGCTGTGTCACCAGAACCGGGTCAAGAAAGGTTCGGTTCTGAGGAGAAGAAAAACGTGGCGGTTAGCGGAAGGCTAGCGGACTGTTAGCTCCCTCCAGAACAAAAACCAGGCTGGAACCTGACTTCCGGTCGGTTCGGCTCGGATTTACCGCTCCAACAGTAAAAACAGAAAGCTGCTGCCACCGACACGAACCTGGACGGTTTTCCTCAGCGGAACCGCGGAGAAGAACCGCGCGGCTGCTCACAAAGCTGACGTCACTCCACTTCCGGCCTCGGGGGAAATTCTGCCCCCTGTGTCGGGAGCGCGCACTGCAGTAAACTCGGTCAACGGTCCACAACTTTCAGTTTGATCTGCAGCTGAAGTTAAAACAATGACAAACCTGGTTTTCTGTGGGCTTCTTCTGACACAGTTTGTGTTGTTTCAATCGCCAATTAGTCGTTTTCTTATTTTGTCATGTTCGCTTTAGCCTGACAAATATCAGGAACTAAACACATTCAACATGTTGTGTGTATCTATAATTTCTGTTTAGTGCTGATATATAATAGGATGGAAGCTGAAAAGACGAGGCTGTAGGTTTCTGACAAATCCCCTTCTAATGTTTGAACTGTCTTGTTGCTGAAAATGTGCGACATAAATACAATTACCTGACCTTAATATAAAATATGACACATTACTGGATGAAAGGTGTTTATAGTTGCTAATGTTTAAAATGCTTAATATCATTTATTGGTTTAATATAAGTCATAGCATTGGAATTAAATACTTCAAAAATATTTATGATTCTGAGATTTAAGAGAACATAAATCTTTTCTTTTCAAATGAGAAAGTGAACTTAATTTCAGCCCACAGTAATGTTTTATTACTCCATGGGACAAAAGTTAACCAATCATCTTGAGATTTGGTCCCTCAGTCCCACCATCACACACAACTTGAGGATTTGGCCCTGGTGTGGGAAGGAAAACAGAAAACAGATGGGACTGCTCTGCATGTTCTCTCTGGGTTTGTGGATTTGCTCAACGCAGAAACAAGCTGGTTTTTCTAACGCACTTATCAAAATATTCACTAAGCTCCAAACCTTTGTAACTTTTTAAATATTAAAGAAATGTCCCAACTAAACAGGTTCAGACCCAATAAAAATAATGATGTCACTGAGGAAGAAACTGCATCAGGTTTTCTGTCACTTTAATGTTTCTGCTATAACTGATGGATATGTGCATATAAAATAAGACAATACAGTTTCAATTACAATTTTTATGTCTTCGTGTCATGAAGTAGATCTCACCCGGCTGAGAAAACTTAGCTCTCAGTCTCAAAAGGTTTGGGCTCCTGGTACATTTGATGCAGCCATTGATGGTGTTCAGCCAATCAGGTCAAAGATTCAAATTGGATCCAAAAGCGAAAAAAACCCTCCATTACAGCAGTCCTTTGTAGATGTTCTTTATTTTTACATTTCTTTTAGCATTTCATTTCCAATATATTTGTATTCCAAAATAAACATGACAGTAAAGGTTGGAAGGGTGTGAACATGGATCTGGTGTTTCGGTTTCATTCAGCCTGGTGACAGATATGATAATTATGAGAATGTTCTGGAGAAAAAAACGTGAAGGAGACAGATTCAACCAACTTGTTGTTGGCTTAGCTTAAACTAGCTGTTGGGTTCCTGTCCGAATTCATTAAAGTAGACTTCTTAACAGAGATAAACAGTTCAGGTTTTATTCACTTCATGACTCGTTGGAATCGCTTTGCAGCTTCCAGGCATTTCATCTCCTTGTCCCAAATAACTAAACTGGACTTACTTCTGAAACGATGATCAGTTCTGTAAAACTGAAAGTGTTGAGCTCTCCTGAAGTTCCTCTGGTAACGTCTTCCTGGGTTGTTTTCCAACATGGAGGACCAGGGTTTTCTGGCTGGTGTAGGAAGAAAGTGGCCAGGCTCGTTTTGACCCCATGACCTCTGAAACTTGATGGAGGCCGGAGCTTCCTCTGCTCCGCATCTTTGAGGAACCAGAAATAGCATCGCCTCAATCTTTTACATACAGATTATGTTACTTAAACTTTAAATGTTTTTATTTTTCACACTTATGATCATCTCAGTGCAGCACAAATAAAATGGATTTTTATTATGAATGAAGAGGAAGCGGCCGAGTCTTTTCTGGCCACCAGGGGGCATAAATGAAGCCTTCACTCAGTTCCTGCTGCCGATCCAGAACCCAAAGACTTTTATTGTCCAGATTAACATCATCAGTTTCCTCCTGGTGGATCTTCCTCCTGCTGCTCTGAGGTTCCTCCTGAAGGTTCGTCCTCCTGACTCACTGCAGCAGCAGAGCTTCCAGGGTGGAGATCCTGTGTCGAACCATCAGGGCCGGATGGACGGGAAGCCTCGTTCACATGTCCTCCTCCGTCCTTCCTGCCCCTGGTTCCTCTCCGTCTCCTCAGGCCCAGACGCAGCAGGCTGCGGTGGACCGTCCATTCAGACATCTTCTTCTCAGAACCGGCGTTGACCTCCTCGGCAATCTGAGCTACGGTGGCCTTCCGGTTAGACTGCACCAACTGGGCTAGCCGTCGCTCTCCGCTTTCATCGATGAGTCTCCTCCGTCCATGACCCAGTCTCTGGTTCACCAGCTTCCCCTCTTTGGACCACTTCTGGAAGGTGCTGACCACCGCGGCCCGGGAACATCCGACGATGGACGCCGTCTTGGAGATGCTCTGACCCAGTCGGCGCGCCATCACGATCTGACCCTTCTCAAAGTCGCTCAGATCCTTCCCCTTCCCCATGTGTGCCTGCAGGTAGACGGACCGGGCCGCTCCTTATCCACCCCGACCAGAACCAGGCGCCATGGCAGACCCTCTCCCTCTGTCTGCTGCAGCAGGAAGACTTCCTGATGTTCTGGGGGGCTCCAGACGGTCGTTCTGCAGAGAAACACGGACCAGACATGGAACCAGGAACATTGGATATGTGCTAAATGTCAGAAAGTAGCTAGAACATTTTCTAGAGACTTTTTTGTATCTCTTCAAATTCAGAAGTTAGCATGCATCTAACTTCTGATGCTGCAATGTTTAGTAGCATTAAACTGTATGTCTTGTATCAAACCTTTGGATTTCGTTCCTCAAGCTTCTCTTCATAGTGTATTGGAGTTCTGGTCCATTACTTCTGACAGAACTGGTAGAACTGGGTCAGGTCTGTAGGCCATCTACGATCTGTCCTCAACTTCTCCATAGGACTGAGATCAGGACTTTGTGACGGCCACAAACATTGACTTTCCTCTTCTTAAGCCACTTTCTAGTGTGGCTTAAGAAGGTTGTCGTCCATCCAGAGTTTCAAATTCCTCCTGATGTGTTTACATGTTGCCTTAATATTTTCACATTAGGTTTTCTCCTCACGATGCCATCTAGTGGATGAAGTTCTCCCGTCATGCTGTGACGGTTCCAGCCCCATACTTCACAGATGATACAAGTAAAAAAATGTATTTTTAAAAATATAACTGGGCTGATTTTTCCTGACTTTCCCATCAAGTTGAACCAGGAAGCAGAGAGTTCCAGGTGCATCATTAAAATACATCCACAGGTAAACGGCTAACTAACTCAGGGTCCGTTGACCTATCAAAGGTTTGTTAAAGACAATAAAAACATTTGACCCACATCAGACAAATACTGAGGAGATGTATGCAAACGTAGAAATACTGCTTCTCACTACATTTACAAAAATAAACGATTTTGTTGATTCTGATCTAAAACATTTTTTTTTACTTTTTGTGTCTTTTAATGTAAACTTGTGGATTTTTTCTCACCTTCTTCACCATGATGGCGAACCTGGGAGAAAAGTGGCGCCTGCAGGAACTACGGCATCCCTACAGGGACAAACGGACAGAGGCTCACTTTTACATCAACATGGACAGAGCAACGCCGCCGTCTAGTGGCCTTTACAGGGAACTACCTGACACGGTTCACCTGATTGGCAGAACATTATGACCACTGATGTCTGGATTATTAAACTCCGGGTATCCGACCTCGTGTTCATAAGGAGGACATTTAGCAGAAACATCTGACATCCACAAGACGCTGGATTTCTGGAGCCTCCAGAAAGCACAGAAGTAGTCCAGCTGACCTCTAACCTCTGAGGACTGTCCTCCTGAGGGAACACAAGCACAGCTTCAGCCACACTGTAGCTAATCTGGTGAGCCGCTGAGGGACACTGTCCTCTTTGGAAGACATGTCTGTGTCCAACCTTCAGCTTCCTGCCTGATGTCTTCAGATGTGGATTCAATCATTGACTGATTGGTCTTTCCTCACCGTAGCATCTATGCTGTCGTTCCTGCTGTGAAAAGTCCCACAGCATGATGCAGACACTCCGAGGCTTCCCAGGTTGGTGTCCTCAGACTCTTAAAACGCTCATAAAGGTCAAACACCACAGATCACAGGGTTTGACTCCATATCTACACCTGATCAACATCTCTAACCCAATTACTGCTGATTTCTAAAATAAAATATTCATTTGTATAAAACTTATTTTACGAAACATATTTCAATAATAGTAAAATATAATATTTACATTTTTTGTTAGATTTTTGTTACAAATCGCACATTTTGCATGCAATATCGCGATGCGCCACCAGAGGGCTTTGCGTTAAATGCCATTTAAACCGGCTCCACCGAAGCCGCTCAAAAATCTGATATTTACCGTTAAAATGTGGAACGAACCGCCCGATTAGACAACAAGGCAAACCCTGAACGTTTCAGCGTGACTGTTGGAAGATACATGGAGACATTTAGAAAGAAAACGGGAGGAGCAGCGGAGGCTCCATATTGAACTCACCTCAGCAGCAGGACCGTGAACTACGGCAACTCAGGAGGCACAAGAGGAGCGAATCTCCGACTCAAAACAGGAGGGGCTTTTAGTTATTGATTTGATCAGAATTTGTTGAATTGAACATAAATGTGACTCAAATTAAAGGAACACTGCTGATATTTCTACATTTTAAACTAAATAAAAAGGCTTCAAAGCATTTACAATAATTTGATTTATTCTGAAAATCTTTATCACAGATTTGAAGATGGAAAATTCATCTTCCATATTTCTTATCGATGTGAATTTGCTTGATGATGTCTCGTGTTCGTCCCTTCAACGCTTCAAGAGGAACAGTTGGCCTCGACCTGCCGCCAGTCTGTCGCCGGGCTTGATTTTTTTATTAAAATATTTACGTCTCGGGGTGATTTTTAAACTACTGCGTCACGACGCTTCCAGCTGACGT